TGTCTTTTCCAGCAGATGTCGGGGTGGTTGAAGTCCCTCAGTGGAACGAGAGCCTGCTAGCGCGAAGCCTCCTGGAGCTGGAGGAAGAACACTTCGTCTATCAGCTCCCCTTGATCTGGCGGCCTGTAGTAGACACCAACCACTAGGATCCCTTTGTTGCCACTCTCTCTGATTCTTACCCATAAGCTTTCGACCTGCTCGTAGCTATTCTTCAGGGACAGCTCTTCACTCTGTAGTGTTTTCTTGATGTAAAGGGCAACGTCCCCGCCCCTCCTTCCTCGCCTGTCCCTTCTGAACAGCCTGTAGCCATCAAGAGCTACATTCCAGTCGTGGGATTCATCCCACCAAGTTTCCGTGATGGCAATCAGGTTCGTAGCTTTCCAGCAGCACGATTGCTTCCAGCTCCTCCTGTTTGTTTCCCATGCTGCGTGCGTTTGTATAAATATACTATACTGTGCTATTTTTTGGTTCCTTGTAACTTTTGGCTATCATTTATTTCTGATTCTGAAAAGCAACCAAAACTCACTTCTGAGAAACTGAATTTTGTGTGTGTATATCAAAATTCTTTTTAATGTTATATCGGGGTTTTTTTTGTGCTTTCTTCTTTTTCTCTCATTCTGCAGTTACAATATTTTGGATCCTGAAATATTCTCATTAAATAATTCTGGCACTGTGGTGGTGAGAGAAGCCGTAGAGAATAACATGAGAACACCAACTCCTCCTCTCCTTAAAAAGTCAGGAATGACTGAAAAACAAACTTGTAAGGACTTTTAATGGGTGCACAACTGGAATCAGTTTCAACTTAACTTTTTCTTTCACTTAATTCCTATTTTGACCTCCATCATTAGTTCTTCACATCACCTTTGGAAAAACACTGATGACAATTTAAAGAGAAGATGCTTCTGGATTTCAAAAGTGTCTTCTGTGCATTTTCTCTTTTAGGCATACCCAGTATAAAAGAAGTCATAGTCAATAATGGGGCATTTATAGTAACTCTGAGCATTGTTTTTTGTATTGATAAATATGTTACTTTTTATCAAGTGATTATTCTTTATCCTATACTTTAGTAACAAGTTTATAAATTCTAACAAATTAGTGATACTAGCTTTTGGTTTGCAGAAGCCATGCTACCTAGACATATTAAATTGATAATATTTCAGATTATTCTAAATGCAATGATAATTTTTATCAATTTCTGTGGTTGTTAATTTCTCTGTAGTTTCCTTTAGATTTCCTAACAAGTCAATAATTTCCTGGGTCATTCTGCAAGTCTTTCTTAAAATAATAGACTGAAATTTATTATTATCTTTACAATTTTAAGTAGAATAATTTAGGTTTCCTTCTCTACTGCTTGCTCCCCAGTGTTTTCCTGTGGCAGAGACTACCTCAGGATCAATTTTTGATCTTGTACCACTTTTACTTCATTTCTCTGTCCTTCACATTTGACAGTTCTATTATCCCAGCTATTTTCATTAACATCCTTTGAGGTTTCAACAGGGGCTGAAAGGCTTGTGTTTTGTTGGTAATTGTGAAGTATAGGACTTTTATTACGTCAGATGTTCGTCATAGCATACAAGTTAAGACAAAGCAGTCAGCCTAGCCACCGTAATTTCAAGAAGAAATTGCAAGCTTGGTCTTTTCAATAGCATTTCAGGGAACACATTCTTGCCACAGGGAACACATTCTTCCTCACAGCTGTAGAGAGCAAAATTCTCCTATCATTCCATATAGGACTTCCTTAGGTAATGTCCTGGTTTCGGTTGGGATAGAGTTAATTTTCTTCCTAGTAGCTGGTGTAGTGCTGTGTTTTGGATCTAGTATGAGAATAATGTTGATAACACACTGATGTTTTATTGTTGCCAAGTAGTGCTTATACTAAGTCAAGGACTTTTCAGCCTCCCACACTCTGCCAGTGAGGAGAAGCACAAGAAAATGGGAGGGAGCACAGCCAGGACAGCTGACCCCAGCTGGCCAAAGGGATATTCCATACCATATGACGTCATGCTCAGTACACAAACTGGGGACAGTAGGCTGGGGGGCTGCAATCGCTGCTCGAGGATGGGCTGGGTATGAGTCAGCGGGTGGTGAGCAATTGCACTGTGCATCACTCGTTTTGTATATTCTATTATTATTGTTGTTACTATTATTATTATCTCTCCCTTTGCTGTCCTATTAAACTGTCTTTATCTCAACCCACGAGTTTTACTTTTTTTTCCATTCTCCTCCCCATCCCACCGCTGTGGGGAGAGGAGTGAGCGAATGGCTGCGTGGTGCTTAGTTGTTGGCTGGGGTTAATCCACAACAGGTGGGAATCATCCTCTTTGCCTTTTCCAAGGAGGTGTGACAAAAACTAGCAGTTGAATTCACTGGTTCTCTTTGCAACAGCTTACTTTTAGTTATACTCTTTTGTCTCAATGTTTACAAGTCACTGAGAGCCGAGTCGCTGAAAGCTGCTGAAAACTAATGAAAATCCTGGTTACTACCTCCTAGCCTTTGCAGCAATTCTGAATGAAAGAATTTCATGTAGCGTGTAGTTTGCCATAAAGTTCAGATACTGAGTAGCTTGAAATTAGCTTCTGCCTGAAACCTATAGCTCCGCTATTACTGTATCCCACTACCACGAACCTTTGGATTTTCTGTTGGAGGACATAAGGTATTGAATAAAATGATGAAGCAATTCTACACATACCACAGAATTTGTCAGAAGTCTTCCCTTCTTCCTGAATTCTTCTTTTATGCAGCCTAGGTTTCAGAAAGATTCTTGGGAGCTTGCCACATGGTGATTTGTATTTTGGCTTTGACACTATTTGGTACACATTATTATTTTGCTCAAACTTTTTTTTATCCCTGCTTCTCTCAACACTTAAGTAAAAGCATCTTATATTTTAAATATCATAACCTTATGAATGTGATAACCTTAACATTGGCATTTCCTAACATACAAGTATTTAGCTGCCACAGGAAAATCCTAGCTGGCTGATAATATTTTCTTTTTCATTTTTTTTGAGAACTTGAACTTATTTTTAACCAGTCAACTTTTTGTCTTCAGGTACAGATAAATCTTCTGAGCACAGCACTAATCTGAGTGGAACAGTTACTCCTCGAACCCAAACAACAAACGATACAGCAATATCTGTCTCTCATTCCCCCAAAGAATCCAGACAGTTTCTGTCAAATTCCATTTTATTGGAGCATTTTACAAAGATCTTTTTTCATTTAAGAAGAGCAGTGGTAAGATACACTTTATTATTAAACATTTTATTTATTACTAAGTGTTGCATTACAATACTTATTACTTTCTACATTAAAAACCCCACACTTCAGAAACTTCAAAAAAACTTCAGTGGGGAAAAAGCAATGAGCGCTCGTCTTCTGCAAAATGTCCAAGTACAGTGTATGAAATGTCAGACATATCACCTGTCATAATGTATATTTCTATCAAACATATAATAATTTCTATAAGTTTTTTATTTTTTCATTTAGTCTCTGTAACTTTCCTTCTCATGTTTGTTAAAGCTTTCTGAAAATCCTTGCAGACTTACCTTTCCCTTTACAGGTCTTACTGAATGCCTCGGTAATATAAACAGAAGGACCAGTGATTGAAAGAAAAAGCAGACTGACTGCTTTTCCCTTAAATCCTTCTAGTACCAAGTAAAAACACATGTATAGGTGGTGTGAATTAATTTTTATTTCTTATTTCCACACCAAAAGCAACAATTACATTCAATTATAAATTAGTGCTTCTATGAAAATTTCCAAATTAAGGTTCTATAATGCTTGATATAAAGTGAAATATTGAATGATCTGTTTTTAAGGATGATCCATAGATTAATTTTGAAAGATTACTTATACTTAAGCTTTGCAATAAAAGCATTAAGCTTTTAATTTCTGTATTTCCAAAGTATAATTATATTTTGAATGATATGCATAGGTTCTTGCTCACCGTGGTGGCCACTGGACATTGCTTCAAAATGCTTGTCGAGAACTTTGGAACTATATGCAAGAATTACAATTGGTTGCTAATCATTCACATTCCCATATGGATGCATTTCCCATTACCAGGGATTTCCTTAGGAAAACCATCTGGTTGCCATTTTATTTGGCATCAGACATGATCATTGATATGATAACCGAACTACAAGCAAGCAGGTCTCTTAAGGTAAGAATTATTTTTATTAAGAGAGTATACTCTTTATTACCACATCTGCAGTAGAGATAGTTTTCTTTCTCTTGCATTATATTCTGGTATCTCCAAGTTATTGTGTGTAAAAAGTTTTTAGAGGATTACAGTATTTTCTAATCTTTATAATTTGATTTATCCTAAAAACAAGTTTGAGAATAACAGGTAGAATAATGTTTCTTCACTGCAGATTGTGGATCCTGAAGGAGACTTCTGCATTCCCAGTTGTTTAGGAGGTATTACGGATGAGAATGGTGGTTCTAATCTCCATCCACAGTCTCCTCTGGATGATGTGAATGTGGTTGACTTGAAATGGATATGTAATCTGATTCTTAAAACAACAGAATTGCTATATCAAATGAAGAAGTGGGAAGCACTGGTACACATAGCTATACAATTTAACATATTTACACAGTAAGTTACACCAACTCTAAGAAAAACTAAAAAGCAACATTATATAGTTAAATATACCGTTATTTTGCTTAATTACTGTACTTTGCTTTTTTTCAGTGAGAGATACACAGAACAAGTGAGTCCACTGCTGGTGTATGCTCAGAGGCAGCTGCTGGAAAGGATACAGCAATTCAGTGGCCCAGACAGCCATGAATCTCATTTCATGAAATATCTATCTGATAATGCACATAAGGTGATCCACAGATTTCTTTTCTAGGCACTGACTCTTAATGTGATCTGAATATAGAGAAACGCTTTCAGATTAAAATGGTTTTTCATAATGTTCACAAATAGTAAATTATAATAAATTAATGAACATAATTGATTGAAGTGCATGAAAAGGCTTAGATGATATGATTCCAGCAGCAGCAGAGGTCTGGACTTCATGACCCAGAGAACATTTCTTCCATGCATAATGCACCCATTCCATATTACAAGCCTAAATCTAATTTCACGTCAGTTCTTGATTCTGCTCTTTTAACCTGAAAACATTTATTTGGATATTGTGCAATCTTTGTGATTAATTAAAATTAAATACAAAGAGTTTGCTTTGTTTCTGCATTGGAACACTAGTCCTAAAGACCAAAATTAATCAAATTTAGTTAACCCAAACACTGACAATACTAGTAAAATCTTGAAAAACCTGATCACCAACAAAAAATCCTAAGCTGCTCAGCAAGTTCCTCTTATTAAAAGCTATGGCTCTATATATGTAGTAAACTGACATTGCAACTTGGAAATTTTTCATGGAATTACCTATTAAAAATTAGGATTTCCCCTTTTTTAAATCTAAGGTTTATTTCTAAGAAGTTTGCTAAAGTCAGTTGCATGGTTGCTATTTTTAATATGTTTCTATATCTGATAGAAACACAGGACTTGAAGGAGAGGGGGAGAAACTGGGGCTTGGAATTCCAAACAGGTTTGTTCTGAACATGAACATGGGATTCAGGATTCACTGCTTTGCCTAGAGACAGCACGCAGCTGCCTCAGGCTCGCCGGAGCTCGGAAGGCACTTCTGGCTTGCGACGGGCAGCTGAGATGTTCTGTCTTCTCTTGCTCTGAGGCTGTGTCCTGCTGACTTCTTGCTGGCCCTGCCGTTCAGAACGTAGTCCTTTGTCTGAAAAAAAGGCAGCATGGCAAACCACAAACCACCACATTCCACTGTAATCTGAGCAATGTGGAAAAGTAATCATAGTTTTGATAGACAACTTACAGAATAAAGACTAATGTTAGTTAATAGTGATAAGGATTGTTAAAAAAGGCATCATCAAGTTAAAAATTTGGAGAGTATGGCTAAGTTTCACAATGCAGTGCTGTTCAGAGAGTCTAGTGCCAGTTCTGAATTGGTTCTTTTGCTTCTAAAGTGATGTAGCTACGTTAGCAAAATAAGATGTCTGTGCTGGATTAGATCTTTATACAAGTCTGGAAGTTTGCTTCTCTGACAGGGTTAGACTGTTGCTGTTATTTGCTTAGAGCTATTTTGTATATCCCTATGCAGCATTACGCTGTGCTTTACAGGCAGCGTGCTCTTTAGGCGTACTTACACTGACAGGTTCTTTGCAAGCATGCATTTATCCAGACAAAGATAGGTGGAATACTTGCTGAACATCTCCTATGAGTTGCTCATGATTATGGCAAATACCAAGTAAGATACAAGTTTAATCTAAACATTTATATGTTATATCGAATAGTTAGGTGTTGTGAATGTTTCACCTCTTAATGACAAGGCTACTCATTATGGGTCATTGGTGTCTTTGTAAATTAGTCCTCTTTTATTTTGTCATATGACTGAGTATTTAGATACTTAACTTTAAGCACCAAACATTGATTTTTCTGAGTATTATTCAATTCTCATGAAAAAAACCTTGCTTTTTAGATGAGTTGCAGAAACTACATAGGGCAGAAATTACAGCTGCCTGTTGCCTATTCTGCTGGTGAACGGATTTTTCCTGGAAGCTTTTTCTATCCTGAGATGAAAAATGATTACACAGGTCAGAGCATGTTTCAGTATTGTGAGTCCTCTTTTCTCCCAAACCCTTTCCTTTTTCATACCTTATCGTAGGTCTTCCACTCCTCCTATAATCTGTTTCTTTTAATATAAACTCAGTTTTGTCTTCAAGTTATTATTCTTGATATTTTGGATGGATAGTAATGTTGTCAAGACCTTTCCAAATGTATTCAGACTGTATCTGAAAGCAGAGAAAAGCAGTTGTCATCAGTTGCCAGATGACCTACAGCATGTTGAGTAAGCCTGGTGGTCTTGGTCCAGTTTTCTGTTGGCATTGTTACATATCCAGCAATAGACCCAGAAGTTACTGTGAACCTGTACTGTTATTGGTAGAATCAATAGAAAAACTGATGTGAAATATAAAGTGACAAAGCATCTCCTTTACCCACAGTTGTTGTTCTTTTCAGCCAGGATTAAAATGTTATAGTCATTAACGGCAGTTTGTAAAGCATAGTTCTTCATATTACAGATATGTCAACGTATTGCACACAAGGCTTTATGTGGAATTCAGCTGAGAAAAGTCATTAAACAATAAATAGTGCTGTATGTAAGAAGAGTAGATAGTATTATGCATTCAGTGGAAAGGGCATGTCAACTCACAAGTTTGGTACACAGGCACTACGGTGATTGTAGTAAATAGGATCATCAGTTGGAGCAGAAGATTTGTTTCCAGACTTCAGACACCAGAATTCAGAGCAGAAAGCTGAGCTGAGGCATGCCCAAGGCAGATGGAATTCAGGGAATACAGATGTCACATGACAACTAAAATGTAACACTGAAAAAGAAATAAATGCTCAGAAGTATTCTTGGTGGTTAACAATTTTGCTTTAATTCATAGTTCAACAGCACACAAAGGTGACAATTATGTTAATATATTTTAGTTTTGAAAGTGTAAAATTGTTCAGATACATGTTTTGCAGGGTGATTTACTAAAAACATATATTTGTTTAATGTAAAATTGTTCTCCATAATTATTAATTCCTTTTAGATCACAGTCAAGCAAAAGCCCTAATTTATGTGCCTCTCGATGTGAATGATACACTGAAATGTTTTAGAGAAACTCTACAAAAATCTAAATATCACAGCAGAGCACTGAGACACAGTAGAAAACTACTTTCACTATTTCTTGCACACACACAAGGTGAGTGATTTTTTGAAGTGTTTCTCAATACAGTGTATATGCAGTTAAAATAGTAAAGAGTGAAAGGAACAGATTTTTTAAAATTCAAGTTTTAGTTGTTATTGCCAGTTAGAAAAAACATAAAATATGAACTTATATATGAAGTTCTGTAAGTACAAGCTCTAAGCCTGATTTCCTACGATTTGTGTCTCATGGTTGGATGATAAATTTTTTTTCATGCAGCTGTGTCACTTCTCTGTCTGCAGCCAAAGTCAGAGGACTGACTGGCAGATCTTCCCAAGTTTATTTTCTCTAACAGAGCACATATTTTACTTTGGTTGTACTGACCAATGAGTTCAGTCCAATGAGTTTAATTAGGAGACACACAGACAGAATCATAGCATGGGAGACCAGATAAAAATAGGGTACACATGAACTGTGTATTTGTTCGAGTAATGTGGCGTGGAAATATTTGTGGTGCTGGAAATAGTATAATGCTTTTCCAAACTGATCATATACATCATTTTTCTCGTCTAGAAAATGCTGGAAGAGCAATCAGCAGTCATATCTCTTCAAACAGAAGGCTGGAATTTAATGTGGGAGCTGAACTGATATTTTTACCAACACCACGTGATCTTTCTCAAGAAAAATTTAATTTCTCCAGTATGGTTGAGAGTAGACCAATACCACAGTCACAGCTTTCGGTCATTATCTCTTCCTATGAACAAACAATTGGTAATTTTTTTTTCATAAATTTCTGTTTACAGCTAAGATGTAATACCATTCTGCCTATTTGTGTTCGTATGTTTATTCCAGTGTTATTTTCCTCTGTCAGACAGCTATAACTGTCTGGAAGCTGGTTTCCAGTAAAATACAACCTTCTTTCTGTTGCTTCAGAAAATCTGAATTAGATCCTAACAAGCCACTAGTTGGTTCACAACCTCTATAGTTATCTCATCTTATGAAAAAGCATTACTTCAGTGGTGTTATACTGACTAATCCCAAATTAAAAATCTGCTGTAATGTTTCGCAGATTCATTTTAATTCCATGATAGTGTTTTTCCTAGCAAACAGACCTTTCAGATTCTGTGCATTTGAATATGAGACCTAGTTGCTTGGCTTCCGTCTTACATTCTAGTATGGCTTTACTCATACAGTTACAGCTCAGCACTACTACCTATTTTTGCTGTATGACAAAATAGGTGAAGCATGGCAGGTCAACAGATGCCATAAGTGGTTTTATTTGAAGTTAGGGATCCAGAAATGAGCCAGGGACAGTGCTACTGTGCTGTATGCAGGCAGTGCTGTTTAACAGGGCCAACGGCCTGCTTCCCAGTTTATCTCTTGAAGAGGAAGAAATTTGACAGGTCTGAAAAAACAAAAATACAAAAGCTTAGATAAACAGGTCCATAAATAAATCCTACTCTTGTGTTTAAAGCTAATAGAAGTAAGAAATTGTACATTTGAAGGTAAAATATACAAGCCTAATAAATCTTTCAAAAAATATTCATGCATTGAATGACATGTGAATGCATGTCTACGTCTCATGCAAAATTTGTTCAAGATTCAGTAACTGATTTAATGATGTGACAATATGTTTTTTCCTAATTGATTAAAAAATAAATAATAGGAATCCTTGAAATAAACAACCAGAGAGACCTCAAGGTTCAGGCTCTACATGAACTTGGAAATCTTCACTTTTATGCTGAAAACAAAAGGTACATAATTATTTGATTAAAAAAGGGCGTTGTTTCAATTTTTTAATTGGCATTCACATACTCTTCAACTGTCTTGTAAGTTCTTGTGCTGTCCTCAAGCCCATATAACTTCTTTCATCTAACTCACTATTACCTATATTATGAAAGGCTTTTTTTCTAGAAATTGTTTATTTTTCTTGGCTAGCTAATAGCAATTAAGGAAATTAGTTAAGCATCTCTATGTGTTTCTAAGAAGTAATATCTATTGCTTGACAATTCGATTTTAGTACAAGTCCCAGTAAGTTTGTTGACCTGGAATGGTATCTTTTTGTGGTGTAGAAACTGTATTTCAGTTTTTGACCTAATCAGAATTAGTTATATCTCAGGCAATAAAGGTAAAATGAAGCGAGTCTTACCTTCTTTGGAAAATGTCAGCAATATGATGAGAATGTTTTTTATGTGTTACAGAGCTGCTTTTAAGTATTGGTGTCAAGCCCTTGATGAAACACTCAACATTGCTGATGCTCTTAACAACTGGGAAGAGTTAGGTTTGCCAAAAAGTGCTACAGATCGCTTTGCAGTTGGAAGATCGACTGATATTAGTCAGAAACTTCTTTCTCAGGCTGGAGTTTGGGGATGTTTACATGCAGCAGTCTTGGTGGCTAAGATAGCTCAGTAAGTGTCTATGTATGTATTTCTTACATATTTGAAACAAATTGCTCATCCAGGATAGTAGGCAACTTGAAATTTAAAAACACTAACAAGTTACTATAAAAAAGACTCATCAAAAGCAGAGGAATTTTTCCTTTCAGGAAGAAAGTCGCTCTTCTGGAGAATACTGTTTGTTTCTTTTTCTTGAGTGCTCACCTTTGATCATAATTGCAGCTGTATATTATATAGAGAGATCACTGAAATAAAACAAAATGATAAAAAGTCATAAGTGCAAGGATTTTACAGTCATATTGATTTTCAATTGAAATATCACATCTCCCAAGTCATTGCACATACTAAATATTAATGTATCTTGAGGGCAGATTTACTGCCTAAAGTACTCATTTTCTGGTGAATTACAACTAAATGAAATTTAAATTACTGTATTAAAGTCTACCATCAATAAATATTTCCATCCAGTACTCCTTGACTGCTGGTAAAACACTATGGATGTAATTCTGAGCTGTTCCTTAATGTACTGTACAATATAAAAATGTACAAAATATTAAATTTAGAAATACCTAAGCCAGCTCTAAATTATCTTAGAAGTATTATACCCATGAATGGGCAGAGCTTCATCTGAGTAAACTGTCTTACCTGAGAAGCAGGTCATATTAATGGCACTGTAAAATATCTGTAAACCAAGGTAGCTTTGATAGTATTAGCATGGGTATTTCAGGATGAAACAGCATTGGCACCCTCAGAATTAGCACCCAAGAGGAAAAGGAGTGAGTTCAAGTTGATTCTAGATGACAGCTTTTCTAAGTCTGAGCTGTGGTGCAGTCTCAGGTCCAATTAGGCAAGACCCAGTCCCTAGCCGCTTTTACATGTGCTTGTGGCACGTATTTGCTGCACTGTATACTGTCCCTTTACTGCTAATATGTCTGTTCCAAATCCTGGCAGGGATCTGGAGGGAGCAGATCTTTTCTATTCAGATCTGACTTGGGCTGTTAAACATCTTTCCCTTGAGTTGCTCTTTCTAGAGCAACCTAGTCTCAGGCTAGATTAATGCAGATTAAAGGATTCTAATATTTAAAATTCTGATGAGGTGCTGTGTGGGATTCATTTAATCTAGCTAGATACCTACCATGTGAAAGTCCACATGTGCTAGTTAGATTAAGCTTCCTTTATGGAGAGAAATACATTTTAAGGTGTGAGTTACTTGACCTGCTTGATCTTTCTAGTTTCATATGACATGAAGTTTGCACTTAGATTGCCTGTTTCTCTCCTTGAAAGAGAGTCTAGACAACTACTTTTGTCTAGGAATGTCTTTGGTCAAATGCTTCTTTCTTTGCATGGCATGGCCAAGCACTTATCTACAGAACAGGCTGCTGTTTTCCAATATGAAAAACATCTAGATTGTGTTAGTATCATTATTATACTAGGTAAAAAAAAAGAGTTTGAATAATTTATATTGATGGGCACATTCATATTTCTTATTATTTGTTGTACTTTAGGTATATAACAACATCAAAGATGAGATTAAGAACTAAATACTGCTGTTTTTCTGCTATACTTTTCAAGGTAAGAATATAATTTCAGTTAGGATTCATGAAGTTGACAAATTGCTTCTAAAATTTAAATCTCAGTAATCCTTTATTAAAATATTTCTCTTTTCATTTTGGTTGTAAAGGAAAACTGGAGATCAGAGGTAGCTGACAATTTATGCACATCAGATTAGATGTTTTTATTTAGATGTTTTTATTCTCTGTTTTTTAACATTATTCCTGCATTATAGCCTAAAAATCATCACTTCAATAAGAGGCTAGTGTCTCAGAGAAATAATAAAATACTGAAAAGTGAAGATCGCTAAAATATTTGGCAGTCAAATATGTTTTTCTTCTCTTGAAGTGTTCTGCTCAGGAAGAGCTGGATGGCATCAACAATAGCAGCGTGCTCTCTGTCAGATCTGCACAGAGCCTTCACAGTTTTTCATAAGTTTTCAACCAGGCGAACAGACTCTTTAGAAAAATAAATTTTTGAATCTTTTTTAGCATTGAAAGATGTTGGTTTGTAGTACTAAAATCTCATCTCTGTAAGAAGTTTGCTCTAACAGTACAGGATAGTCAAAATGATGGTTTCATTTACAAAGAAAAGAAGATCATTAAAATTAAGTTTGCAAACTTTCAGAAACCAACTATAGAGGTAAAAAAGGGTGTTAGTTTACTTTTAAAAGGAAGTTTTAAGATACCAGTGACAAAAGTGGTATAGAAAAAAGACCTGCAAGTATTCTGCCAGTTATGCTCCACTGGGATCAATGCTGACTCATTCCAGTGCAGCATCAGGAAGTTAGCTGGCTTCTTCCAAAACAAACCAATGCCACTTTGTAACATCTTGTGTCACCCATGGCTGTGACTGTGACACCCACGCTAGGCCACATTTAAAGCCTCGTTAAGTTCCAGAAAGGGAGAACAAGTTGAAGAAACAAAGGCGAAGGAGAATTTTGACTAGCTTCTAGCACTTTAATTGCTGGGCGTATAAAGCTGAACCATTTTGACTCCTCCTTTTGACAGAAATAGTAGTATGCATTTGTTCCAGCTGTATAATGGTAGAAATAATTGTGACCTCACTGAAGTGAGTCTGATATTAATTGGGATAGGACCAGCTTGCAGGGTGAATATCTTGAAAAATATAATCAATTACTGTCACTGTACCTTGTGAAGTTCAAGCCTTTAATTTGTTCCTTGATTTGGAAAACTTTTACAACCTTATTTAAATTCCATGTCTGGTATAGGCTTTAGGCTTGTTAATATCTCAGATCTGAGTATGTAAATACATATTTCTCTAGCATATCATTGCTAATTACAACAAGATAAATGCAATTGGGAGGGAATATCCAAGATCAGAGACAATGTTAGCACTCCTCCCTTTTTAAAGGAGGAACATTTAAGTTACTTCCTTAAAATTCACATCAGTTTTAAGTTATATGATTTAAGCTGCACTAGCTGACCTAGTTAAAGGCAGAACTACGGTCGAACTAGCTTTTAACTGGCCTTAAAGTCAGCAGCTCTCACAGAAACAACAGATGAGGTGATGAGGGGGCAAGGATTTAAGGCTAAGTAAAATCAAACTAGCTTTCTTAGCTTGTGGGGAAAATAAAAAGATTTTTCTTCTGATAGAAGATGTTTTCCATGAAACATCTTTGGACTGGTAAAGAAATATATGAACACATCCCCACAATCATCTCAACAAATTTTTCCTGTGCATATTCCTTGATTATGGAGATGTTTGAATATTAAGTTTTTTCTGTCTGCTGATCAGACACTTATCCTAAGAATTATCTAAGAAGTCTTTGTGAGAACCCCTAGTGATTTACTAGTTTTTTTTCCAGTGCTTCCAGAGATTTATTTGGGATGCTTTGACTTGGAATCTGAAAATAATGCCATTGTCTCTGTAGGAAGATTTTTCATTACCTGGGGAGTATTTGCTGAGGAATCTTCCTCATTATTTTTCTACACCTAGATTAGTTTTTCTCTTTTGCTTGTTTTGTGGAATACTGTCCTTAGACTATTTAGAGCTGTGTTTTTTTCTCCATCAAGTTCACACATTGAAAAGATTTTTCATGGTTTTGTCAGGAAACCAGTGAATACTTAAGACATTGACTGAGTTTCATTTATGAATTTATTTATAAATCTCAAAGGTTGGAGTTTTATAGTGTTTCATTAATGCCTATACATAATTTCACAAGCAGTTCATTATTATTACTTTCAGACCCTGTTTAGAGCTTCTCTTCCACATCCAACATCAGACTGTGACTTTGCACAATATGAAACAAATATGCTTATTCCTGGTATCGACTTGTTCTCTGATCGCTACAGAGCTGATATCTCTACTGTAGTTGCGAGTCTGAATTTCCTTATGTTTGAACTACATTGTGCAAAACAAAATTTAATAGTAAGTATTCTTTTTATACTCTGGAAATTAATTTTAAGACATCAAGACTTGTTTTTCTGTGTGAGTGTACCTGTGAGATACCTCAGAAGCTCTAGCAAAATACCTGTATGGCTAGGTTCTGTGGCACTGAGATAGAGGCAAGGTGTATCTTACTGACTATAATTTTTAGAATATACAGGGTACTTGTTTATTCAGGAAGAGGACAACACATGGTCCACTTAGCCTAGGCATTTTAGAGGAAATTTCCTATTATATACAGTTTGAAATATGCTGTACTGAGAATTACTTTAAATGCAGTATGTCCAGGCTGCTTTCAATAATTTCACTTTCACATTCAGTAAATGAAAGTCCTTTCTGCCTTTCTCCTTCTCATGTTCTCTTATTCCTCTGTATGGAGTGTTTTTGCAGCTTCCCTCTCATGTTGATCATATGCTTATTTCCTCCATTTAATGACTGACCACTTCCACTTTAATCCAGCTTCTTTCAAATGTGCAGTGCTGTACATTGGAGTAAATAGATTGAATTGCTTACCAGTACTGAAAAAAGTGCAGTTTGACCTCTGATCCTGTTTGGTCTTGTATGCTCTAACAGATTTTCATGTCAGGCAATTATTGTATACCTCTATAAATCAACTCTCAGCATGACAGAAAACTCACCAGCAGAAAAAGTAGATACTTTTCTCCTGCTTTAATGAGTTGAACCACTTACGGAAAGGTCCTGTGGGTGGCAGAGCCAGTGCAAGGGAGGGGAACAGATCGTGTAGCTGGCGGCAGGGGATTAAGAAAAACTTAGAGGGTAGAGATGGGGAAGAGGAGTTAGAGAGGAGGAGGCAGCAAGATGTTACCCCCTTTTTTGTCAGCAAGCTATTTGTTGGATTGATTTCTTCTGCAACTTCAGGCTAAGTGTCTGTCTCACCTCCTGTTGTTGCTTCTTCCCATCCTGCTTTACTGGAGTTCACTTTGTTGTTAAGCTTCGTCTAACTGCCCTCACTATGGGAGATCAAGTGAGATCAAGGAGCAGGCGGTCACCTGGAGGCAGGGACACTTAATTTGACTCCTTGCTCCACGTGGCCGTGCACGTTTTTGATTCTTTCTGCATTTGTACTTGTAGAATATAGATCAAGGTCATAGATCATGTTTTGGATGGTGGGCACTGAGTTGTTTTGACACTTAAATCAAAATACATCAAGATTCAAGTTTTATTAAAAGTAAGGCTTCAAAGTAATTTTGTTGAGCTACTTCAAATATCAGTAGGAAACTGTACGGGCACAATTAAAACATTTGCCTCAAGCATTTGTAATCCAAATTCAGAAGTATTAACCTACTTTTATGAAAACTAAAAGTGCATTTGACAAAAAAGTAGCAATGCTGTTAGCACTTTCCAAACTTGGGGACACTTTAAAGTGAAGAAAAATGTAAAAGCTGAACAGTAATTAAATTTTGGAAGTTCTTTCATTTTCAATAAACAAATGCATCCGTTAGGAAAGAATCTGCTTTTTCTGAAATATTACATAATAATATAGTGTTTATATACTTTACTAGAACTCAGTTTTAAGATGTTTTTTGTTAGTTGCCCCTACAAAAACTTTTAGTTTGAAATCAATGCAAATTGTCAAGAAGGTCACCACCGTCCAGTTTATTTTACATTTGGTATCATTTCACTTAGTTGCAGGACTTCATTGTGTTTATTTTATAAAGCTTGCAAAATTCTATTATTCTGTAACTTATACTCAAAAAATTACAGCATTAAAATGCAGTTTTAGAAATCCCTTATATCAAAATATTTCCAGTAGGTTTAGTCACTAATGGTACAGTAAAAAAAGCACCTTTCTGACATTTGTAACTAGATGACCAAATATTTTCCTACAGATTTTACCATTGTTCACATTATACCAATACATTGTTTCTGAGATTTGTAAGGACCCAGCTAAATGTATTGAAGGAAGAATCTTCAAGGTAATCAAACAACCTTTCTTTTTATCACAGCACATTGCATTTCAAATAAACTTTTCATTTCTTTGTTAAAAGTAATTGATTTAATATTTCTTCATATATCACTACTATGGAAAGTAATGCTTTAAAGTTCAGCTGTTGCTCAGTTTTTCTTAGCACAACAGATTCTAGAATAGGACTACTTTCTAAATGCAATTATTATTTACAGTCTCAATTTTAGTAGGATGTAGAGTTATTTATACAGTTTTACAGTTAATGTCCTACAGAGACTGTTAAGTACTTCCATCATTGCTTTCTACTCCTTAACTAGCATTCTCCTTAAAGATATGATAATAAGATCTTCCCTCTTAGATCCAAACTCTTTACTTGGTATTTTTTATGTTGTTCCACCATTCTTTTAAATGTTTTCTTAAGTGCAAAACATAAATGATGTTTTGTTCACAATGTTCACTTCCGGATTTGTTATCAGTATCGTGTTGGAACCAGGTTGTCAGGCTTCTGGGAACAGACTTTTGTCATTTCACTAATCTTCACTTGTTGGTTTTGTTTTGTGTTTTTTTAATCCCTTGGGTTTTTTTTTTTAAAGGAATCTAATTTGTAGTAAGAGTCATAGTAGTATTGATTTTAGATATTTTCTGGAAATGCTGATATGAGTGAAGGAGAGTAGCTGAGTACTAAGAGAATAAGATGAGTAAAATCTATGAAACAGATTTTGTTAAGAGGCTGATTTGGACTGACACTCAATGCTCTAGCTAGACGAATTATGTTATTTTCCTTTGTCAAGAGCAAGTTTTTGAAGAATATGTTTTTGGGGTTTTTTCATTTTTGTTTTTAAAAGTGAAAGACCCATCTTTGACATTTCACTTATTTACTACAAAACATAAAAGATTTCTTTCCATTGAAGAACATTCTCCATTAATGTACTATTCCAGTAGCCAAATCTACTTGAAAATTACCTTTGAATATATTTTATTTTGAGAAAAAAGAATAATTGAAAGTAATTAAAATCAAAGGCTCTGTTATTTTTTCACAGATTAAAGTACTTACAGATATAGGATTTTTTGCAGAGGCCTTTCATGAACTGTCTTTGCTTAACTGCGGAGAGAGAATTCCATGGAAAATACCTGCAGGATACAGAAAAATTGAAGAAATGAAGGTAAACACCAGTAAAGTATAACATTGAACTGTAACATTGAACTCCACATCTGCAAGTTATTACACATTCCGAAAAAATTCCTAAATTTCTTTCAGTAGGCAGGTCAGATAGTAGGCACTGAATGACATTAATTTCTCTGACAGAACAGCAGGAACAAAAATAAATTTTGAAACATACGTGCTGTCTGTTTTGTACAGTGAGTAATACAGATGATACTGTTGGAAAAAATAATGTGCGATTTCATATGTAGACATAAAAAATATTTATAGAGCTCTTGCCCCATTAATGGCAAAGTTCCCAGTGGCGACCGGGTTCAGGGACGGCTCGGCTACCCACCCCTCGGCCGCTTGGGTCATCAGCACGCAGACACCAATGTGGTGGACGGCAAATGGCGTTTATTGATAAATAACACAGCGTTATATAGCCTAGGTTTACAGCATCACTTCCGTCTGCTTACTTCACGGGTTAAACGCTATTGGCTATTAGGACGGGGGGGGG